TCTTGAGAATACCAGGTGCAGTAAGCTTGGATGTGTCGCTGGTGTAATGGGTAACGGCTCGGAATCGGAGAGCCGAGATCCAATTCCAGCCGGGTTCGTTATATTTACTTACACGCAAATACCTTTTGGAAAGGTATGAATCCACTTCTCAATCGAGCTATGGTTTAATTAGTAGGACTTGTATCAGTAAACCGTTATTATCTCTTACAATCCATAATTATTTTCTGGCTTTAAATAACCTGCAGAAGGTTGATAAGCCGGAAAAAAAAAAACAATCAATGGTCATAATATCACTGTGTTGCTGTATAAAAGCCCACAAGAAAAATTACAAAAGTATATGTTCTCACAGATATAAAATAGCTTTTTATAAAAAAAAAACGAAAACATTATCAACCAAGCAAAAATAACTTCCTTGTACACATTATTTTATACAGAACTGAGCAACACTTATCTTTTGATATGTAACTCCTCAACCATATCGTCGATAAGCAAATACGATTAGCCTTAAAGAATGTTAGACAAAATGACACACCCATTCCGATAAAATAAAAAACGAAATGAAAACTATCTTATTCTAGCGTAACAAGACGCACCTTAACTTTGAATAAAATGAAAAAGCCACCAAAAATTATAATTTGTAATAAACACCTTAGATTCATCATTTACTGAAAAAAAAGTTTAAAGCATTTAATCTAGACATTACTAATAACTCAGGACCTCAAAATCCACCCCACTTAAGTAAAATAATGTTATTCTTGTGTCCTTTCAGAGATTGCATCTCTAAAACCAATAATCAAAATACATTCATTACATTGGTCATATATGCATCATACTCTCTTGTAGGCTAACTTGTCTGTTATTGTCACTTAGTGTAATTGTTACACATACTGGGAAAAATCAATAATTAGCATAAGAGAAATGCAGCAATTAACGTTAGTAGATTACATCAAAATGCAACACACTGATGTGAAAGGCACAAAATAGTTGAAGCTATTATTATATAAACAAACAAACAAACAAACAAACAAACAAACAAAACACACATTAAATGAAATATCTTTCATCACAGGAGACAGCATTTTAAAATTTTCATATTTAATATGCGTATAAAATAGTTAAAATTATATATTCGTTTGGGATTTTGTCAAGCTCTGTGAAACTGTTCCACATATAACGTCAGTTACACGATATTTGAATTTGAAATGTAACCCCCCCCCCAAAAAAATGCAAGAAGCCAAAAATTTTTGTATACGATATTGATAATATTTAGTTCTTGATAATCAATACAATTTTCATTGAACGAAGCAGCCGCACGATTTGCACGTAATTTTTGTGGGTGGTATTTTTCTACAAAGTCATTCACATTTTTTCCACATCGTCAGCAGATCTCAATTTTTGGGGCAACTTCCGATACACTTTCCACCTTGGTTAGTTCCATTACCTCCTCCATGTTTTGATGCTCCTCTCATGAAGCAGCTGAAGTTACTCTGTCGCCAGTGACTCTCCGTACTTGTTGGGAAAGAGAAGCAGTCGATAGCAATATTAGGTGAGGCTATCTGTGATAAGTAATTCGAAGAATTTTCTCCAATAAAATGAATATGTTCTGGGCATTCACATATGCGCTTCACCTTGTCTTTGACCGTGTTGTTTCTTAGAAATAGATGACATCAGCCGGCAATGCTTTCCTTTATCTCAGTCACTGACTGTTTCCGTCTATATGACAGTTGTTCGTATTGCGAATTTTTATTCGTACAATGATACAAAAATGCTGACGAAATATGAATTTTGGACAGTTTAGCTACAATTTTCATCCGGCAGTGCAAACATTTATTTGAAAATTAAAAAAAACAAAACACAGGGAATAAAAAATTAAACAGACTGTCGATTGAATTTAATTTCCAACCTGTTTAAATGAATTCTTACTGCATGGATGTGGATGTGCGAACAATATAATGTGACGAGCGTTTGGTTGCAAAGGAAAGGAACAAACAAAGATTACATTTTCAACAGCTTCTGTTCATCAAATGTACATAATACATAGTTCTGTGAAGTTTAGTAAAAAACTATTCATGTGTGGTACTTCAGTTGCTATTGGTCAAGAAAGTGATTAGACGTAAGGGTGTCGTTGGTAGGATCGGGAGTTGACCAATTTCTTGGGTTGGTTGGGCGAAGACACAATTTGGGTCAGTGGATATAGTTGGATCGAATTAGCCGTTGGTGGGTTTTGATGCACGACCTTCTTTAAAGTTGAAATCGACAGTAAGTTGATCGATCGAGGTCACAGCGGTAGGTTGATTTGTTGTAAGTTATGGCGGTGACGACGAGGGATTAGGTGTAGATAGTGAATGATGATGAACTGCTGAATTCGGGTCAAATTAGAGATCATGATTGTAACGACAAGGGAGGCCTGGAGTAGGTCGGACGGAATATCTGTTTGAATGTGGTATCAATGATATGGGGTCACGATAGTGAAGACAAGGGTGACCTGAAGCTGGATAGAGAGGTATTAGAAATCAGGGTGGTTGGCGTCGGGGTTCAGGCGTTGTTGAGGCTGGCCTGTCGGCCGCATTATGCGTGTGAAAAGTAGGGAGAAATTAGTGAAGCTTGAACGAGGTCACAATCATGGCGGTGACGGCGACAGCGAGCCTGCGTATTAGCAGGTGGCCTTTCGGACCGCAACTGTGTTGGTCATTACGGTGGTCTTTCTCTTAAGCAAATCTGGTGGTCCGCAGTGGGAACGCTCGTTATTGTCTATTGCATTTTTATTGTGGGGATTTGTTTTATGGACTGGATGTGATGCGCGGAGCCCATGTGCAGAAAAGAACTTTTTATTTTGTTTTTGTTTTATTTTACTTTGTTCTGCTTTCTTGTCACTCAAATCCGGCCGACACGTAGTATAAAGCAGAAGGTGATCTAACTGCAGAAACGTTCAGAACGGTGAGAGATATAGAGTGCACCAGAAATTATATTATAATAAGGACAACCACATTGAAGTGAAAAGTGTCAGTTTATCTCAAACTCAGTTGTTTCTGTTTTAAGACCGGCTTAAACAATCGTTAAAATCGAGTCTTCTTCGCAAGATTTACTTGATCGAAGTGGAACGGAAGAGTAAATTTGTGGATGAGGGCTTTTATCGCGAAGCGACACGTAGAACATTGATGATTCTCAGCTGCTCGGTCTATATTAACAGACAGAGTTGGAATCGAAGAAGTCAGTTCTAGTTTTCCCTTGGCAAGGAGCCAGGCTGACTCTCAAGTAATTCTGAAGCTGCTCATTGTGATTTGTCGATGGGCAAAGTGTTTGTAGGAAGGTAGAGCCAAGCTGTTAGATCGACATATCAGGAGTTGTACCCAGATCGAGCAAAAGAATCCCGAACAAAACATCTGAGTGTATGTGAAAATGGTTCAAGTTCTTATTTCTCAACGTGGCGTTTATTTTCATTTTTTGTTTTTATGTGAAAATTTACTGTGTCAAATTTTCAGTTTTGGTTAAATAAATCCCTTTTTGTTTAAACAAATACTTAAAATATATCTTTTTGCGGTCATAATTTTGAAAAGTGTACTTTACAAACTGGTTCTGGGTGCATATTTAATAAGCTTATTTTAATTATTTTTCCCCCAAAACAATTGGGACACTATAAAATATCACTAGTTGAATTTGAAAGGATTAAATGAGACACTATTGTGACACGGGTAATATGAAAAGGATTAAAAGGGTTCTCGTAAAACTTCGTATAGGATATGAAGAACTGGAACCGTTAACAACGTTAAGGTGAAAATATGAGTTGAAATATGCAGAATGGAAAAAAAAAGGTAATTTTTCCTTTCTGATAAGTAGAAATGCAGCATGGAATTTGAGAAATGAAAAATGTGGATTGCTTATCGGCAGAGGGGCAGATGGAATTGTTAGAATTTGCAAAGCCGGTAATGTAAAAAATCTAAACCGTTGTTTTGTAAACATACAAAATGGACAGAAAATGTTATGGATCATATTGGAAAATCGATAACCAAGGAGATTCTTTGATGTGAAGGAAATAGAAATAATTTATAAACACAAAGATTGTTACTGGAAAATTTTGGTTTTGAATATGTATCCTATCGCGGGCCAATTATCGCCAGGATATAGAAAGGAATGATAAACAAAATTTGTTGTTGAAAAGTGTATTGTTTTGAATAACTGGCCGCTTTGTTTGAAGGTCAGTGTAATTTCTACAAAATTGGCAAAAATAATTAATTGATATGAATATTGATTATGAGTCCTGAGGTGCGGGAGAAATGCATATAAACAGAGCGCTTAAGAAAACAAGTAATTGAAGCGAGAGACGGCAAGAGACGCAGATGAGACGAGACAGCAGCGTAGAAAGGAGCTACTAAATCCCATGTGACCTGCTGCCGAGAGAATTCATGACCGACCTCTTTTTTTGTTGATTGAACCTGCTCCAAGTTTTAGAAGAAAAAGACAAAGTGTCACTATAGAGAGTTTAAAAGAAAGGGTTAATTAATAGTTGCAATGTTTATATTTTTGTAACTTTTCAAACATCTATTTAAAATCTGCTAATAATTTTGATAATAATAAAAAAATCGAGCATTATTGATGTTATAGTTACCTCCCATACAGGAGAAAAGAAAAGGAAGCATAATGAAAAAAATATCGTCAAAATGATTGTTATTTTTAAGAGAAAAACTCCAATAAATTTTTGTAAAAAGAAATAAAATTTTATTTTTGTAAAAATAAAATTATTTTTCAAACTTAATTCTTATTTCTGAAATTTAAGCTAATAGCCTTCTTATTTCATATATAAGACTTTACGTAAACGTTTTAGAAATTAATGTTTTCTATAAAAGAGGGAAAATGAAGTTTCTGGTTTATTTTGAAAATTAAATGGTAGTCATGATTTTAGATAAATAATACAGCTCAGCTGGCATATATGGGGGTCATGAGGTCAATTTTAATTTTCTGTTTAGTCTCATCAAAAAGTGCTGGTGTGCACAGTGGTTTGGATGTATCTATCTATCTATCTATCTATCTGTTTTCATACCTTTAATCGTATTTAAGGCAAGCATTACTGATAGAACAGAGATATTATATTTATAATGTATATATGCATTTCTAATGATTTTAATATAGGAATGCACTGAAATTTTCTGTAAAACTGACCATTCCAAGAAATCGTTGCAACGTTTTTGAATCATTGGAAGAAAGAAAATTGTTCAGATCTTGACTCTTACTAGCACTGGGTTTAATTCCTTCCTTAGAAATATTAATATTCCTCTTATTCGGACACATGCAACATGGTTTACAAGATCTCGCACGATGTACATAGTAGATGTGCGCCCTACATATTTTGGGTTTCTGCTCCTGATGATACAGTTTTACAGCAGATTGGAATTTGTAATTCTTACTACGAGAATCTTTTTCCTTCTTAGGTTGAATCTGCTGAACGGGACTGGGTCTTTGCTTATTAAAATATAGTAGCAAGTCATCAGCCATTTTTCTAAGTTTTTCCATTTCTAAATCCGTTTATTTTTTAAATGTTTCCTTTTCGGAAAATTATGGTTTTCATGTCCATTTGTATCGATCTATCCAACCCAATCTGTTCGTATCTATCTATCTATCTATCTATCTATCTATCTATCTATCTATCTATCTATCTATCTGTGTGAATCTTTGCATATCTATCTTAGTAGACTATTTAACAATCATAGTAGGCAAATATCTAAGTAAACTCCTAACGATTCAAGTAAGGATCTATCTATCTATCTATCTATCTATCTATCTATCTATCAGCATGATTGCATCTATCTACTTTTGTATACGCACATGGAGGCACAGACGATATTACAATAGAGACATATCTACCTATTTATCTATCTATCTACATACGTATCTATCAATCTACAAACCTACTTACGTATTTATCTATCTATGTAGTGGACACATATCAAGTAGAACCATATCTATCTATCTATCTGCCGTTAATCTCATTTTTTATATGTACATGCACGCAGATGCGATAGTGCTTATATATCTCCATTTGCAACTCAAACTATCTTTGTCAATAGTCATATCTATCTATCTATCTATTAACATGATCATATCGACCTCATTTTGTATACGCACATAATATTTATATGCAGCTTTGTCATTTAATCTTCATTTGTAACAGTTTCAACCTATTTCAATAAAGACATCGCTTTCTCTTTGTCTATGTATATTTCAGTAGACTCATATTTATCTCAGTAGAATTATATCTATCTATCTATTTCATTTTGTATACACACATGCACACACACATTTGATATATAAAGTACCTGAACCGCATATCGGTTTTTAGCGAAAACCGAATGGATTTATGAGGAGGCCATTGGGAGTCACCATGTGAAGTTTCAACTCTAAGCGTCCCCTAAACAGAGTGCAAATTGACAATCGGTCAACCCTTAAAAATGTTTTTTTTTTCGGTTGGGTATTTCCTAAATGCAGATTAATTTAAGGTGACGCTATGCGCGGGAAGAAACAGGTCAGTGCGTGCAGTGGAGTGGAAGAAAACATTTGACCTCAAATTCTGGAATGGGTGCAGGGCCATTGAAATTCGGCTTTTTTATCCCTGCTACCAGTTCTGACTTTGAACCACAAATGACATATTCGACTTTGTCAACACTTTTGAAGTTGAAGTTTACTGCCTTTACTACGCGGCCCAGTCCATCTCAGTACTTCACTGCCCTATTTTGCTTTTAAACGTTTGCATTACCCATTTTATTTCCGCGTGCTACCCTTTACTGCGTAGCCCAGTCCATTTTAGCGTTCAGTTTACCTATTTCTACTTTTTCGTAGTTCAGTTTTGCTATTTGTTAAACGCTGTCGCAAGTTATTTTCTTCTGCCTTTACTACGCGGCCACCTCAGTGTTTCACTACCTTTTAACCTTCAACCTTTTTGGTTGAGTAACCTCTTCCTACAGAGACGTTTTCGTGCTGCCAGAAAGCACGGCTTAAATAGCTAGGATATTTTTTTTTTTCCATACCGCTCAACTGCATTTTTAGTTTTCGTATACAACGAAGGTTGCACCGCTTCAGCTTCGGCATCAACTTCTATTCGCATTCTTACAGCATTTCTTACAACCCCTTCAAATGGCTCTTCTACACGACGAACATCCGAACAACCTTAGCACGTCAGCAACTGAAGACCCTAATACCGTTAACGTTAAAGCATCACCAGAACAGGCGACTGGAAGGAGGATTCCATCGAATAACTTCGGTTACAGATGATCATATAGCGTCTACTTCAAACTCTGCTTTGCACTCTTCTGAGTGCCGTGGCGATGACCGACCCGGCAGCTTTGCTAAGCGTGCCAAAATACCACGGCGAGGCAACCTTAGCAGGCATTCTAAAAGAACCTCTGCGGCAAAGAGAAAGCGAGAGGAGGAAACGGAGATAGAGGCCTCTTTGAGGCTTTCCAGTCAATCTCAACGGAGGCCGTATGTTTTGTCACATGAAACGCTTGGTGAGCATAACTACCGTTTGTACTGCAAATCAGTTTACACATATTCGTTGAAAAGTAAGAGGAAACTACCTAAACGCTTGCAAGACAACAAAAAAGCGGCTTCATTACAAGCGCTTTTGCGGTCTCGACAGAGCCCGCATCGAAAAGCTACTCGCAATGCAGCCGACGCCGCTGCAACTTCCATTCGACAGTCCCAGGAGTCCACGGTTGAGAAAACCGCACGTAACGCAGCAAAAGCTGCGGCATCGTCCATTCGACGGTCCCAGGAATCCATGGCTGAGAAAACCGCACGCCATACTTCTGCTGCGAGGGCGTCGGAAAGTTCCGCACAAAAGCGCACAAGCCGGCAACGCGATGCAATTTCTACTCCCGCTGCTAGAGCTGTAGAAGGACCTGTTGAAAGGCTTGAAAGGTTGCAGACTGTTAATCAGCGTCGCCATGCACAGAGAGGGCTCTGTAGCCCATCAAAGCAGTTTTGGTTTAAGCTGGCGTCAACTATGAGCCAGTATTGAGGCTTTCCGGTCGCAAAGACCTCCAAATAGGATCCATGTCAGCTGTCTGTGGGCATTGCAGTGCCAAAACATGGCCTGGAGAGTCCGCAGTTTTGTGTTGTTCAGACTGTAAGGTACAGTGGCCACCTTTTCAAGAGCTACCTGCTCCATTGAAAGCTCTGTTGGAGGGTTCCAGTCTAGACTCGAAACATTTCCTCGCAAAAATTAGATAGTACAATTGTACCTTCCAGATGACCTCTTTTGGTGGTAATGCCTTCCGCGAAGTCGGTTGGAATCCCACCTTCAAGGTTCAAGGTCATGTTTACCGCCGGATTGGGTCTATTTTGCCGGAAACTGCCACTGATTCGGCCTTTCTACAAATATACTTCATAGCTGACTACATTCAACAGGCAGATGCCCGCATGGGCATTATTCCCGAGAACGATACAGGCCAGGACAATCATCCTCGCAGGGATATCATAATGAGTCTCCAACAAATGCTCCACGAGACAAACAGCTATGTCCGCAGTTTTAAGTATGCTCTCGAAAATAACTCTTCTTCTGATTTCATTATTGTAATTGATGCTGAAAAACGGCCTCAGGAAGAGCACGAACGTCGTTACAATGCTCCCGCAAGTGACGAAGTTTCCGTCATTGTCAGCGGTGATCAGCACAACAGACGTGACATTGTTATCGAATCACACGGCAGTGGGCTCCGAAGGATCAGTGAAATGCACAGGTCCTACGATGCACTGCAATACCCACTTTTCTTCCCTTACGGAGAAGATGGATACCACTTTGGCATTCTGCCAAATAGGTCCACCTTAAAAACAGTGTCTTTCAGGGATTTCTACGCCTACCTATTGATGGTACATGAGGGTACATTCAATCATCTTCATCGAAGCCGGCAACTTTTCCATTAATTCATAGTAGACATGGCGGCTAAGATGGAATCCGAAAGACTCTGTTACATCAGATTGAATCAGACCAAGTTGCACTGCGACTCTTACATTCACCTCCGTGATGCTTTACGAAATGACGCTGATCCACGCAATATAGGCAAGATGTGCATACTACCTGCAACGTTCACAGGCAGTCCACGATACATGAACGCGAGGACGCAAGACGCGATGACATACGTTCGTAAGTACGGCCGACGAGACCTTTCACGTGTAACCCAAAATGGTACGCAATTACTAAAGAACTTATGCCAGGGCAATCGGCCTACGACCGTCCAGACCTCATTGCGCGCGTTTACCATCTGAAGCTGGGAAAGCTAATGGATGTGATTACAAAGGGTCAGGTTTTGGGGGCTGCTTGCTGTCGCATGAACACTACTGAGTGGCAGAAAGGCGGCCTGCCTCACGCACTTATACTAATTTGCCTGTGCGACAAGATTGAGGCCACAGAAATCGATCATCTTATTTCTGCTGAAATCCCTGATCCGTCGGCTGACCCTGAATTGTACGAAATAGTGACAACCAACATGATTCATGGTTCCTGCGGGTCGCATTACAATTACACCAGCTGTCACAACAGCGACGGAAAATGCACCCGGTAGTACCCACGAGATTTCGTGAGCGAAACCATTACAGGGAACGATGGTTATCCACTGTACCGGCGAAGGAGTCCCGCTGAGGGAGGATTTACAGCCGTGGTAAAGGGCCACCAAGTGGATAAAAGATGGGTAGTGCCATACTGTCCCCTGCGAACAAAAGCGTTCAATGCGCACATCAATGTCGAATATTGCCATTCAGTTCACTCCATCAAGTATGTATGCAAGTAATCAACAAAGGGACTGATTAGGTATTAGGCAGGAATGTTCCGTAGACAAAATCCAGGACTTCCTTGCAGGGGGCGTCATTAGCAGCACAGAGGGCCATTGGCACATACTCAGCTTCTCCATCCACGAACGCCTCCCAGCAACCGTCCAGCTTGCTGTGCACCTAGAAAACGACGAACTTCGTAATTTTTCAGCAATGGATGTGGCTGCGCGTACCAAAGACACAACGCTTACAGCGTTCTTCAAACTTTGTCGACAGGATAATTTGTTGGACTCTACTGTACCCAGACGTGCCTTCATACTACGTGTGGACAAAAAAGAACACCTGGGCTCGGCGGAAGTGCGGGGCCAGCGTCGAGGGCTATCCAGGCGTCAAAAAAGACACCACACTCGGAAGGGTCCCCCCATCGCGACAGGAATGTTTTTACTTGCGACTCCTTTTGCACGAAGTTAGTGGCCCAACGAGCTTACAATAACGTACGGACGGTTAATGGAGTTTTATGTGACACTTTTCGTGAGGCCTGCTTCCGTCTCGGCCTTTTTGAAGACGACGACAGCCAGTGGGATGCCACAATGGCTGAGGGAGCCGAAAAAATGCCCTCTGCTTTGCGCCACCTCTTCGCCACAGTTGTAAATGTGGAAAGTGATCCCAAATCACTTTGAGTTACAAGGACTTTTTGACCGAAGAATACCAGAGAAGCGCAACTGCTGTTCCCAACAACTTACCACCAACCGTGCACACCTAATGGCGATGTTGGGTCCGCTGAATTTTCGAATTGATTATTAGCCCTTTGCAGTATTCCAGCGGACACTAATGGATTTGTAAACGTTCAAGGGTTGTCTACAGTGGTCACAACGCTAGCAACACTCAGGGAATCAGTTTTGCCTGATCTTCAAACCAACTACAACAATATTGAGTCTTGCTGGGCGAAATTGAAACCTGTTAAAAACACCACTGTGACAACCCTTAATAGACAGCTTCAGGAAATGCCACGTTTACAAATCCATTGACAGAACCTAGACCCCGCTGAAATGGCGAACTTTCCAGTGGAGTTCTTAAACAAATTACCCCGCTGGTCTCCCTCCTTTTCTGGAACTTAAATGGGGATCCCGGTTATGAAAAAATGGAATGCACCGAAACATTGGCTGAGGACTTCAGTGTAGACCACATTTTCAGCTTTTTCGTGAGGGTGAATAAAGGAACACATCCTCGCGCCTGCTGACTCGAGAGCAGGCTACGTAAAGTTGGCTGTATGAGAAGCACTGCTCCTCTAAGTGTACACCAGTGACAGACAACGTTTGTCCTTGGGCCTTATTAATTGTCATAGCAAAACAGGGTGCGACTGGGAATAGGAATCTTCTGAAAGTGAAGGGTACATCGGCATATGATGGATACAAATGCATCCTTGGGATAAGCACGTGCTCTCCTTTACCGCATTACTGTGAAGCATTGAACTCATCGCCAACTAATGTATAGTTACAAGCCTCAATTGTCTATCCTCACATCACGATATCATATGTAAAGAAATTAATGACCCCAACCAGATTACGGGCCCTTTCAAAAATGCGTGCGAGACCCCTTCGTGCAGCAAAAAAATCGATAAAAAGCTCCGGTTCGACCCTGCCATCAGCTGTCAGTTTTTGACTTCTTTTCACGCCCAGGCTGCAATTAATGTCAAATGTCGATTCAACTTCCGACATTTACGGCGACAATTTGTAACGGAGACAGATTTTCAATTTGGACTCAGGCTTTCAAAAAATTGGTAAATCGGTTGCTACTCCGGTATTTGGGCGGATTACATTCTAAAATTTCGGGCGTTCTTTACAATTCAACCAGAAATTCCTACGCGGCCCAGTTAGAGGTGCCTTGCATAGAATGCCGTGTGACCCCGTCGTGACTCAAAAATCGATACAAACCTCCGTGTTGACCATGCCCTCAACAGTCCATTTCCCACTTCTTTAAACTTTGTCCTTTCTCCCAGGCCGCATCTCAGATCCGATTTTTCAATTTACGTCATTGTGTCATGCCGGAGCCCGATTTTTTATTTGGGACTCAAACTCACAGGTGATACGGATTTTGGGTGTTTTAAGTTGAATGTCTCGCCTACACTACGCGGCCCAGTACATCTAAGCTTTTCACCTCATTTTCGACTCTGTGCAGTTGACTTCGCATTGTTAAACACTTTTGAGCTCTTTTTATTTGAACTTAAAATCGGATCAATGTATGGTTTCCAAAGTACCGAGTTAACAAAACAAGGGCAACAACAACCCCGCCCAAGTAGTATGACCAGTCTCAATATTTCAGGAAAATGGGTTGGGTGTGAAAAAGTATTTGTTGTTAGCATTGTTTTTCCATTCGGTTTTTCCAGTTACGAGTCATTTTTTAAAGCTGATCGTTTTGTGTTCATTTTGTTTTTTGTAACAGATTTAATGTTTAGTATAGAGCTTAGAAAAAATTCGCAGTGTGAGAAAGGCAAACAGTAAGCATGTAGCAACATCAGCATGACAAAGAGCACTCCTTTAAAGACAAGGAAGGGCAAAAATATTTTGTCAAGTGATAGCGATTACTGTATGAGTCGTACGATTTTTGAATCAAGCACGGGCAACGCCGGGTCATGCTGCTAGTATTCATATATGACTCATATATCAATATATTAATGCCTATATCTCCGATATATGTATTAATATATAACGCGATTTCAATAAAAAATAACTTGTTTTCAAATCTGTCAATAACAAGCCTTTAGTTTGTTTCACTTTTAACCAAACCATTAGCTGCCCACAAACGTATTTTTCATTTTTCTTTTTCGACCTGAATTTAAGATAAAAAAAACTTTGTCTAGACAAGGAGTGTAGCAAGTTGCAGATTCATTTTATTTTCACTTTGTTGAGAATAAAAGGAAATGTGTCTTTATTAGAAGAAAAAGGGCGTGAATAAATGATGGGAAATGATTAAACAAAAACAATATTTTATCGTCAAAAATTAAAACTTCGTTTTACGATTAAGAAGAGGAATGAGCAAAGGATTTTTTATTTAAAAATGATTTTTTAAAATTCTTTTTGTTAAAAATCTTGTTCTGGCATCAAAATGATACTATAAATTAAATTAGTATGGGAAAGTTGATGGTCTTTTGCCAGTGAAAAACACATTGATTTTGAAAAACTTGCAAAATCAGATAACTGTTCGGTTTTAAAATGAAAGTTCAGGGACTTACTCAGAAATGAGTGAAATTATTTTTTAAATATTTCCTTTTCGCAAAAGCTCGGTTTTCATCACTATTTGTATCTATCTATCCATCCATTCCAATCTGTTCATTATCTATCTATCTATCTATCTATCTATCTATCTATCTATCTATCTATCTATCTATCTATCTATCAGCATGATTTGTAGCTCTCTCATAAACTATCTATGGCAGTAGTGCCATATTTATCTATTTATGAAACTACCTATCAGGTCATCCCATAAGTTCAGTCCGAATTTTGAATAAAGAAAACAAGTGACCAAATGTTACATTTAATTACAGATTCAATCAACAATGTATTTTCCCTGATTATCTATGACTTCCTTCCATCTATTAACAAGCTTACTAATTCCATTTCTGTAAAATTCTTTTGGCTTTGATTCGAAGAACTCACAAATGTCAGTTTTAACTTTTTCCTGTGTTACAACAGCTGTTTATTCCAAAGGATTCTGTAAGCTACGAAACAAATGGTAGTCTGAAGGAGCAAGATCGGGAGAATAAGGTGGATGAGGAATTTTCTCCCAACCAAGTTCTTCGATCTTTTGTGACGTGATTCTTGCTGTGTGGGGTCGCGCATTGTCCTGATGAAGCATCACCTCTTTTCGATTCACTCGAGCAGGTCTTTTTTCCTCAAAGTTTGGTTCAAACGCTCTAATTGCTGACAGTATATTTAAGCATTAATTGTTGCATTAGGTGGTAAGAATTCAAAGTGGATTATTCCTTGGCGATCCCACCAGATTGAAAGAAGAACCTTTTGCCCCATGAAGTTCCCTTCTCGGCTATGGCTGGGGTCCTTCCCCTTTACCAAGCCACTGTCTACGATGCTTAACATTTCGATAAAAGATCCATTTTTCATCGCCAGTCACAAGTCTATCCAAAAAAGGTGAAATAAGTTGGCGAGAATGGAGAGAAGAGCTGTTGTCAACTCGGGATTTGAGGTTGTTTTCAGACAATTCATGAGCACCCATTTTCCAAGTTTAGGAACTTTTCCAAGTTGTTGAAGATGACGATGAACAGTTGTATGGTTTGAACTGAGAACCACTGCCAATTCCTCAACTGATAAAGCAGGATTTTCTTCAAGGGCTGCTTCAAGAAGCTTTTCATCAAACTCAACTGGACGTCCAGTTCGATCTTCATCTTCAAGGGTGAAATCTCCACCTGTGAATTTTGCAAACCATCTTCTGCAAGTTCTTTCATTCACACATTCCTCTCCATAAACTGAGTGAATGTTTCTAGCCGCTTCGGCTGCTGAGTTTCCTTTCTTGAACTCATAAAGCATTATGTGCCTCAAATGATTCTTGGGGACTTCCATCTTAGCAGGGTTTTAATCAAACAAAATTTAATTTTATTCTCTGAAATAAAATTTGATCAGTTTAAAAGCATCTAAACATAAAAATAATGTTCTGCTCCTTTAGACATTATAAAATACTCTTTAAATTTCGTTCATTTTAACAAAAAGTTAAAATTCGGACAGAACTTATGGGATGACCTGATACATACATACTGTCTACATACCTACTTCCATATTTATCTATCTATCGTAATAGACTGATATCTATTTATCTTAGTAGAAGCATATCTATCTTTATATCTAAGTTGAACCTCATCTGTCGAAGTAGAACCATATCTATCTATCTATCTATCTATCTATCTTAGTAGACATATATCTAACATGATAGACATCTATCTATCTATCTATCTATCTATCTTAGTAGACATATATCTAACATGATAGACATCTATCTATCTATCTATCTAATATCTATCTATCTATCTATCTATGCAGCTGATTATCGTAGCAGTCACAAGCCAAGTGGATCCCAATCGTCGCCCTAAAGAAATGTGCTCTTGTGCTGACTCCAGCTCTATCCAAACTTTACAATTATTGCCTTGATGCTTCCTGTTCTCTAGCCTGTCGGAAGTCCTCTGTAGTTTCTGTTTTTAAGAACTCAGGAAAACCCTCTGACCATTCAATTTATCTCCTTAATATTTTCTTACTGCTTTTTGCCAAAGTATTCGAGACTCTAAATAATGCTGAAGTTTTTATGCATCTTTGATCTGTTTGTAAGTTTGGGAGTTGCTTCTGGTGCATCTGCTGCTTTTTCTGATGGCGATGCTTTGCTTGATGTGTCGAGTCAACCATAATTGACTTTGGCATATCTTCTGGCATGCACCACAACTTAGCAAGCTGGATTAATTTACCATAGCTGGAAGGTGCTTGATCTCGGTGCCACCTACGTTGGTTAACTAGACCTGTCATAGGTAAGCAAACTCGTCCGCAATGATCACATACAACAACTTTAAACAGTCCTCCTCCTGTTACCCCTATCATAATCAGTTCTCCCCCCACCTGTCCGCAGTAATATGGCAAGCACTCTGAGAGTCCTTTACACAGTCCTTGAATCTTCTGATAGATTTGTGCTTTGGACGCAGACCTTGAGTTAAATTGCCGTAAAGTCTTTGCTTGTGAATTCGAGAATCCTCTAAGCGAAAAACATGAACTGTCCATCGAACCCAGAGGTAATGAATTAGGGCCTCTGTGACGACAGAATTTGCTAGAGACGCTCCCTGTGTACAGTATCAAATTTGAAAGGTTTTCGTGATGGCTGATAGGCGTCGAAGATTAAGTAGTCTACAAGAAGTGCGATATCAAATGTAGAATTCATGCGAACAATTTGTGAAAACTTAAACCACAAAAAGAAGATTGAGAACAGCGTAAGTGCTACTAGGTCACTCTGATTCACACCCGTGGTTACCTTAAATGGCTCTGAAAGTAGACCATTAGCATTAATTGAGACTTTCATCTCGTCGTAAAAGGACTGAAGGACATTTCCAAAATGGTTTTGGCAACCAAGTCGACGCAGAATTTACTAGAGAAGCTCCCTGTGTACAGTTATCAAATGCTTTCATCAGATCTACAAAGTCTTCGGTGAGACTTTGTTGTTGTTCATACGAATCTTTTTTGCAGTTGACGAGCGGTGAACACCATATACATCGTCCCTCTGTGAGACTGGAATCTGCATTAGGATTCGGGAAAAAATCGTGTCCACGATATATGCTAATCGTAAGCGCATGTTATCTACACGGATCTTACTGGCAGAAGACAACAGAAATGACTAGACAATTCCTTTGCGCCCTTTCCTTTGTACAAGAGAACAAGAATCTTTCCAATCTGTTGGGACAGCACCTTCTTACAGATGTTAATAATTTAATGTATGATTTGAACCATGTGGTCTCCACCATAAAGAAAAATATCAGAAAACAGTCCGTTCACTCCTGCTGTCTTACCAACGTTCAATTTAGAGATGGATAATTCGACCTCCCCCAACGATAGGGAGTGGGTTATTCACTGGCTCCACTACAGTTCATTGTTCAAGATTGTTTAGGTCACCTGGATCTACTTGGCTGTGTCTATTCAGCAATTCTGAGAAATGCTGCCTCCAGCGTTTAGAAATGCCAGTTACCCTAGTAAGCAGTACATTGCCATTTTTAGATCTCAATGGTGTAACTGTTGCTATTTTAGGTCCAAATGATTATTTCATAAAAATATAGAACACTTTGCTTTTATTACTGTCTGCGGTTAATTGCATTTCCGCAATTATGCGCGACCGCCAATTATCTTCTAATTCTCGTAATGTGGGTTGCGCACGGGATTTGGCTTCTTTGAACTGTTAGGTGAGCTGTTGCTATTGTTCTACAGAAAGGTGTTTCTGGAGAAATCTTTCCCGTATTTTGTTCTTCTTCGTTTATCATCATCTGTTGTCTGATAACAGACTTGACATCTATGTGTGATGTCTTCTCAAAGTTCAGCGGCAATGGCGATGTGGCGACGCGTGTGGATCTGGCGGAATGAGAGTATGTAGCTCCTAACCTATACACTTGGTGGCTTCTAGGTACATATAAATTCACTTGTTTACTTTCACAGGGACAGGGATAGAATTCAGTTGCTCCCGGGGATGTCTGAACAGCATTTTTTTTATGGAAACACTGCTCACCGGAAGATTGCTAGAGGAGGTCTAGAAAAGTTGACCTAAACATTGTCTTATTAATCTGGCCATTGTATCGCGGCTGGTCGATCACAATTTTTGCGCTCAAAATCACAGGAAATACGGATATTGAAACAATGGATTTGGACTGGAAGCGGTATAACGGAAAAATCGAAAAATAGCTCTAAAAATTTGATGGAATGTATGAACATTATCTGGTAGCTTAACTGGCTTATCTCCTTTATTGCGTACAGCCATTGTGGCCAGAGAAGTCAATCGTAGACATAGCAACTCTGTCTGAGACACGAATTTCAGACGACGATGACAAGCTGGCGAGCCTCCGATTACACCTTCATGGAGGTCACTATGCCTCCATTATTAGTGCTTATGCAACACTACTTCTCGCCGAAGAGGCAGACAAGTTAGCCTTTTACGAGGAACTGCGTACCCTTCTTAACTCTGTTCGAGAGACAGAAAAAATTATCTTGCTAAGCGATTTTAACGCCAAAGTTGTTGGTGACTGAGAGACATGGAGCTGTCTGGGGAGGTATGGGATTCGTAAAATTAATGGAAATGAGCTACACCATCTCTAACTGTTAGGGCACAGTTGACCCTAACGAGAATACTTAATATTTATCCCCCTTTGACCGGAAGGATAAAAAATAAGGTTTTTCGTCACATTACCTTTTCGGAAACACAGGTCATTCTGGGTACTGGGAGAGTTTGGCCATGATAAGAATGTAAGCTACACAGATCTCCGAGGCCCACATCCAGCGGCTTCACTAACCAGCCGAACTGTCTTTTCATTTAATAAAGTTTGTTAATAGTTTATTCTTTCATTCCATCTTCTTATCTTTCTTGGCACAAACACATTTCACCCTCTGGGAACATAACACTAACAGTGCACGGAATTTAACGTGCATATCGCAAGTACACAGGTTCGTCACAAAGGGGACCTCACTACAACTTGGATGCACCCAAGATCTCGACAATGGCAACTCATAGACTACATCATTGTCCGGAAACGGGATATGTAAGATGTATGCAATGTAAAGTCTCTTAAAGGTGCAGACTGCTGGACCGGCCACACTCTCATAAGATCAAAAAGGAAGTTGATAATCAAACCAGCTAAGAATAGAGAAACTTCTAAAACTTCTTAATGTGGCCAAATTATACGATGCAGAACCTCAGAAAACTCTTCAAGCTCGCCTTGCAACCTCTGTCAACTCACCTTCATGGCCAAATGCACGAGAACAGATATTCACTGCCACTAAAGGGGTATTTAGTCTTAGTCAGCCAAAAAGCCGTCATTGGTTTGATGAGAATGACGAAACAATTAGAGGTAAACTGACGAAGATAGATAGATAGATAGATAGATAGATAGAAATAGCGATTAAGACGAAGATTTTCTAAAGAAGGAAACATTTTAAAAATAATTACATGCATTTGTGAATAAATCCTGTAAGTTTTATTCTAAACTTCGGTTGAAAGAATGAAAATAAAGATACGTTTGATGGCAGCTAAATGGTTTGGTTAAAAGTGAAACATACAAAAGGCTTCATACCGACAGACTTTGAAAACATATTTTTTTATTGAAATCTCAGATAAATAATTACAGACAGACTGTTATACGTACGGATAGCTTGAGTGAAATAGAAATAAAGATGAAAATTTTCTAAAAAGGAGACATATAGTTTCATTCATTTGTGAATAAGTTCAGGAAGTATAATTAAAATTTAAATCTGATCAATGTGTTTTTCACCGCCCAAAATCGCCCAGTGTTCCCGTACGAATTTATAATACTGTTGCCACTTTTCTTTTTTAATAAGTTAGTCATTTTCCATCATGCATACACACCCTTTTCCTTCGAAGAGACATTTTTTAGTCTTATTTTGTACAAAATGAAAATAAAATGCATTTTCACCTTCCTGTTCTCCTTTTCTGACAAAGTTTTATATTTATCTTAAATTTAGGTTGAAAGAGAAGAGAGAGGACAGCTAGGTAATGTGGCTAAAAGTGAAACAAACAAAAGACTTGAAAACTAGTGATTTTTTAATGAATATATATATATATATATATTGATTTTTTTATTGAAATTCTATACATATATATATATATATTTATTGAATTTAAATCTAATCGTTTACAGAATTTTAAATAATTATTATAAGTTTGATATAATTTAAATTATAAATTTAATATTTGAAATATTATTAATAATTGATATAATGAGATTGGTTATATTTAAATGAAATTAATATATTAATAATTTACTTAAACTTTTTTTTTACTATATCTTTTACTATATAGTTAAAGATGTAGTATTGAATGGATTAACATCCTTTTATAAAAGTATTAATTTTAAATTCTTACTCCCATAAATTTACTCACTTTTCATACTAGTCTCATATTCAATCTGATCTAAAACTTATAGGATTGGATTCTTTACTTATCACGCAACCCTCGCAATTTTGAAGAGAAATACATTTCCAGCCTTTTCATACCAGTTTTTTTAATACTATTGTTCATTCAATACCAGTCCTAAGAGGCACTTAAGATAGAATATTACTGAAGGCAGTCGTTGTAAGTACGTAGAAGGAGGCAGTGAGAGGTGCATATTATGAGTATCTCTAGGATAGATAACGGCTAACCCTAGACGAAGAGGTTAATATCATAGTGATCGGAGAAGCATCCTTTCTGGAGTTTGTCTCACAAAGTAGCACTTCTGGGGAATAAGCCGACTGGGTGGAGCCTTCTCTTTAGCAGTAGAATACGAAGCGAATGAAGATAGTCGACCCTGTGTACATGG